AGCAGCAGCAGCAGCAGCAGCGCGGCTTCGTAATCGCACAGCTGCGTGAAATCAGTCGTTCGACTCTAACATCTTTCTCGTTTTTCGCCGGTCTAACACACTACGTCTTTTTGGGCGATGTCGTGGCATTCGCAGCGGAGCGTCCGAGTGCATGTCTCAGCACGCCAAGCCGGAGCAGCCGTTCCCAGCCAACTGCCAGCGTTCTTCGCGCACCGACCTCTTCCTCGCCTCGTCACCGTCTTGCAGTCCATCACACGCCTGCTCTCCTTCCGGACGACACACACGAGATTGCCTCGTCGAGCTGGATTCGAAGGCGCTCAACACACAGCATGGCAGGCCCTGCACGCAGCAGCATGCTCTCTCTCACATGGACCGCGCTCTTGGCGGTGCTGCTGCTCGCCACGCACACGCTGGCCTCGTCGAAGAACATCCAGATGCGCGAGATGGACTCGGACGCCATCGTGCCACTGCGCTCGCACAGCATCTATGCGCCCTACGTCGACTCGAATCTGCAGAACAAGTTCTGGGACTTTGGTGCCGATGCGATCGTCGACACCAACCGCCACATCCGTCTCACCCAGGATCGGCCTTCGCAGATGGGCTGGCTCTGGTCGCGTCTCCCGCTCACGGCGGACAACTTTGAGATCGTCACCGAGTTCAAGGTGGACGGTCATGCCTCGCACGTCGCCGGAGACGGCATGGCCATCTGGCTCACCCAGGAACGCGCCAAACCAGGCCCCGTGTTTGGATCGATCAACTACTTTACCGGGCTGGGCATCTTTTTGGACACCTATCCCAACTCGCGTCATCCCTACTCGTTCCCGCGCATCTCGCTTATGAACGGAAACGGCGTAGAGGCGTACGAAAACGATAAGGACGGCGCGCGCCAGGAGGTGGCCGGTTGCTCCATCGACTTCCGCAACGCCAAGGTCGCAACCAAGGCAAAGCTCATCCATGTCAAGGGTGTATACACCGAACTGCTCATCCACCACTCTGAATGGGACCACTGGGAAAGCTGCTTCAAACTCGACAATATCACGCTGCCCCTCAATCCCTATCTCGGCTTCTCGGCGCTCACGGGCGATGTGAGCGACAACCACGACGTCGTCTCGGTCACCACCAGCAACATCGTCTACCGCAACAGAACGCCGCAACAACTCAGGCAGGAAAAGATGAAACACTTCCCCGAAAAGTTCGGCCAAAAGTCAAAGAAGAAGTCCTGGTCCTTTGGCGGGAACACCAAGGGATACTCGTCCGATGTCGTCGACGGCAAGTCCAGCGGAGGAGGTGGATTCTTTGGCTTGGTGGGCGCCTTGTTCCGCTTTGTGTTTTGGCTCGTCAAGTGGGGCCTCATTGTCGCGGCTGTAGGTGCACTGGTCATGCTAGGCCTACAGTATCAGAAACGACAAAACATGAAGCGGTTCTAGTGCACACACACGCGCGCACACACCGAGCCACAATGCAAAACTAGTCCCACAACAACCGATTTTTCTTTTCCGCTGTGAATGGGGGGATGTCTAGGTGAGATGGTGTAGGAGGAGGGTGGGTAGAGTTTCGAGGTCGACGGGGAGCGGGTCGGTGGTGAGCTTGGTGCGCGGCGCGCGCGGGCGCGCGTTGAACTGCACCGTCACTGCCGACGGCTGCTTGAACGTGATGGTCGCCGCGAGCCTTTCGGCGCCCTGGGTGGTTGCGAAGAGCTTTGCGTAGCCATGCAGGCTTTCGGAGCGTTGCTTGCGTGCGTACAGCGTATGCAGGTCCGTCGGTTGCGAATGCGCAGCCTCTACCCATCGCGTCATCATCGCACGCAGCCCACCCTCGGCCACAATGGGAACCATCTGCACGCGCATGCCCACTCCCTTCTGCTGCAGTTCGCCCTGCACATGGTTCAGTACGCGTTGCAGACGGTGCAGAAACGACACGTAGTGCAGCGCCACCAGCAGTGGGCCGAGTGAGTCCATGCGTGCCAGCGTCGTGGTCGTATCGGCCTTGGCCGCCGTCTTGGGCACAGCGAGCGCGTGCGCTTTGATCGCCGCAGCCCGAGAAGACGCATCGGCACGTCGAGCCAGGCGCGTGGCTTGGACAAACGCATGGAACTTGCGAATCACCCCCATGCGCACCAACGCCACCACCGCCTGTGCCTGCGCTGCATACTTTCCCGTACACTCGGTGCACGTCGAGACGAGCTCAAGGATCATATCCAGTCGAGGCGTGAGTACTACCCGTACCGACGAGGGTGTCAGACGCACCCCGAATGCAGGTGGCAGCGCACGCGCTTGTGCAACCACATCGCCGAACACCAGCTCATCGCTCGCCTCGCGCGATGCGCTCTGCAGCTCCTCGTCCAGCACCTGTCCCACCCCCAAGCGTGCGTCCGACTCGGCAGAAGAGGTGGGCTGATCGCTCGTCCACTCCATCCGCTCTTCGCCCGAGGATGTGGCGCGCCACAGCACAAAGCGCACGCGCAGCCGACGATGCATGCGGTCCGGAAACACGAGCTTCTGCTTCACCTCCTCGGGCGCTGCTGCAGCACTCGAGGCATCCGCCCAGTACGCAAGACTACGACGCCGCAGCTCGACGGGCGCCTCGGGCAGGCCGAAGCCAATCCACGCATCGCGTGCGCCTTCGTCCTTGACCTTGCCGTCGGACGTGATGATGGGCGTTCCGAACCCTTGCAGTCCCGCCGGCTTCTTCTTCTTTTCCTCGCCTGCCTTTTCTCCTGCATCGGCGTCGGCCTCGGGGTCCTCGGTCGGCTCTTCCTCGTCAGCGGTGGCGCCAAAGCGTTCCACATCGAGCAGCGGACGGCCAGGTGTCAGACGCCACCCGCGCGCATGCAGGCCGATCAACGCACGCCACCGCTCGCGATTCGACGCCTGGCTCGCACGCAGCTCGGCCGCCGCGCTGCTCAGCAGATCCGCCGCATTGCGCGTCGCAGCCCGCTTCGTCTCGAGCACCACCTTGAGATCGCGCAGCCGCGCATGCTTGAATGCCGCCGCCGCCTCCATCTCGCGCCGCGCCTGCTTGAGCCCGTATCCGGCACTGCGCGGATCGTCGTCGTCGGAATCCTCATCCATGTCGTCCCGCGCACTGCGGCGGGCAGCAGCGGATGCGTTGAGCGCCGTACGTGACAGCGAGATGGCAAGTGGGTCGAGCACAAACTCCTCTTCGCGCGAGCTGGGCGCGAGGTGCGCAAAGATGCCCAGCGGTGCACGTGCGGCCGTGTTGGTGCCCGACCGTGCAGACTGCCCGCCGACGCTCGGAGCAGGCGATCCCATCCTCCCCGCCGCGGCCGTGTTCG